ATATTCTTGTGATGTCACCAGACCCCTTTGATGTCACTGATGTCCCTGTTGTATATCATGGTTGTCCCTTTGTTGTCACAAGTCCCCTGTGTCACTGGTACCCAGTACCTGATGTCACTGGTACCCAGTGATGTCACCCATGTCCCTTGTGATGTCACCACTGTCCCCTGTGATGTCACCATTGTCCTTGATGATATCACTGGTGTCACTGTGATGTCACCCCTGTCCTTCTGAAATCACCGATGTCCCCTGTGATGTCACTGATTTCCCTGTAATACCACGCCCGTCCCCTTGTTTTTAACAGTCCTCTGTGATGTCACCGGTACCAAGTGATGTCACCCATGTCCCTGGGATGTCACCGCTGTCCTCTGTGATGTCACCAATATCACCAATGATGTCACTGATATCCCTTTGATGTCAGTCATGTACTTGTGATGTCACTGATGTCCCTGTGACATCACAACTGTCTCTTTGTTTTCACCACTCCCCTGTGATGACACTCGTCCCCAGTGATGTCACCAATGTCATTTTCATTAGGGTTAGGGTTAGGGTTTAGGGTTTGGCTTAGAATAAGGGTTTAGGGTTAGGCTTAGGCTTAGCCATAGGCTTAGGTTTTAGGGTTAGGGTTAGGGGTTAGAGTTTAGGGTTTGGGTTTGGGTTAGGCTTAGGGGGTTAGAGTTTAGGGTTAGGCTTAAGTTTATATTTACGCTTAGGTTTTAGGGTTACGGGTTAGGGGTTAGGACTTAGGGGTTAGGCTTAGGTTAGGGTTTGGTTTTAGGTAATGTTTGGGTTAGAATAAAGGATAGGATTAGGGTTAGGGTTTAGGGTTAGAATTTAGGATTAGGGTTAGGGTTTAGGTAACTTTATGGTTAGAGTAAGGGATAGGGTTTCAATTAGGGTTAGGGTTAGGGTAAGAGTTAGGGTTAGGGTTAGCGTTGTATGAGGCAGAAACATCCCCTCTCTCTTGCCCTTCTCGGTGTGTGGGGCGAAAATCGCCCTTGTCAGGGAGCCCCTGCAGGCTCTGCCCCTCCGGTGATCCAACAGCGGCCCCTGCTGACCGGGATTGGAATTGCGCCAAAAGGTGAGGAATACCGGACTGTTTCCTTTTTTTTTTTGAGGGGGATTTTTGGTACAGGATTCTTTGGTTGTTTTTGTGTTCTTTCTTTGTTCTGCGAATACACATATATCCTTAAGGAAGGGGCTGTTATTTTTGCTTTCTCCATAATTCCTCCCCATTCTTGGACACTCTAAATTTTGGATTTTCAATTGCTTAGAAGGAGGAGTTTGGCCTTCTTTATAAGTAGCCCTCCTTAGCCAAACACTTTTGTCTCATTAAACTGGAAGAGGTAAAAAGTCATGCTTTGTTTACAGCCCAGAGATCTTCCAGGCTCTTCCCATTTGCCTCTGCTCCTCTCAGAGAACTTGTGTGGGCACCTTCCCTGCCTGCACCAGACAATTTCACAAAACTGGGAGCGAGGGTATTTCATGGAGAAGGACCTGGGGGTGTTTTGAGGCCTCTCCAAGCAAATGTTTCCTTCAGGAGAGCTAAAACCAGGACAGTGGGGGGAACAGCAGAAACGCAACTCCTCCAGCAATGGCAGTGCCTCCAGGAATTCCCAGCACATGCCCACAGATCCTCCCAGAGGGGTGAGGCAGACATGAAGGTTGGACGGGAATGCCCTGTTTGGGATAACTTAGGAGATGGCTGCATCCCCTCTCCCTTACCCAGAGGCTGGAGATGCTGCTGTCTGGGAGCAGGAGGTGCCTGTGTGGGGGTTCAGCACCGCTGGCTTGGTGCAAGTACAAGAAGCGTTTGGACGATACTCCCGGGCACATGGTGTGACTCTGGGGGATGGTCCAGGGAAGGCTCAGGAGTTGGACTCGATGATCCTTCGGGGTCCCTTGCAACTTGGACTACTGGGTGTGATTCTGTGAAGTTCCCCAGGGCTGTGTGTGAGCAGAGAGCAGGGGCTGAGCAAAGCAGAGCAGGGCAATGGCAGCACAACCCTTGAGCACTACCCCAAGCGGGCTGAGCCCAAAGGGCAGCTGGGGGTGGGGTTGGTCCCACTCAGGTTAGGGGGCAGAGACACGGGGACAGCAGGGAGTGCAGGGCAGGGAGAGCATCAGAGGGAACTGATGGGCATGGGGATGTCTCCAGGCTGGGCTCTCCCAGTGCTCAGTGGCCCCATTTTCCAGGATGAGGGTGCTGATGGGGGCAGACGACAAGAGGAGCAAGATGAGGACACAGTGCAGGATTCAGATCCAGAGGCTGACCCTGGAAGAAGGGTGGATCACAATGTGGACAGAAACATATCCAGGAGGAAAGAAGAGTAGAAAGGGCTCACAAGTTATCACTTGCCTCTGACAGGAAATATTGTCTTAGTAGAGGGGTTGCTTTCTGTTAGAGAAATGGAGAGCTCATGATTCTTGGTGTCCTCTACAGGGATCATCCCAGACTGAACTCCTCCCTCAGCTCCCATCTTGATCCTTTAGATGAATGTGGAACCAACCAGCTCATGCAAATCTGCCCAACTGGTTGACATGGGCTCTTAGAAAAAGAGGAGAGAAGGTGTAATGGGGAGAGGAAACAGTGAGCAGGATATGCCATTCCAGCCCAGTGAGATCCCAGATGATGAACCTCCTCATGTCCTACTGGTGGCAGCTGGGAAGCCTTGGCCCTGATGCTGAGGGTCACTGAATGTGTGAGGAGGGAATCCTTCACCATTGGTGGCTGTGCCTGCCTGGGAGTTGGACCAGCTGCCTGGGAGGAGAGAGGCACAGGCTGAGAGCCTGCAGCCCCCCCAGGTGCTGCACACACTGGGACACTGTGGGGATCCCAGATCCACCATCTGTCATCTGTGAGGATCAAGAAATGAATTCCCTGCCCAGCTGTGCCTCTGGAGAGAGTTCAGCCCCATGCCCCTTACACATTCCCATTACTGAGGATTTACTAGACAAGAATTTTCCCACCCATGTGTCTCCATCCCACATCTCCTTTTTCCCCTGTTTGACACCACCCCAAACCCAGTTTTTGTGTGGTTTGTGGTTCCAGGTGGATGGCTCTGATGCCTAAAGCATTTCAGCACCTCCCAGGTGTTACACTCTGCCCTGAACCCATTGGGAAGTGTTGAAAATCACCCCTTTTGTTCGGAGTCCCATGGGGGCTGAAGGAAGCAATCATCCTCCTGCCTCCCCCAAAGCTGCTCTGCCCATCACTGCTGCACGCCTGATCCACACAGCCTGTGCCCTGCCCTGTGCCCAGGACACGCCCTGTCCTGCCCCTTTCAGCAGCACTCCAGTGCTCCTCCCTCCTAGACATATTTTGTCCACATTGTGACCCACCCTTCTTCCAGGGTCAGCCATTCCCCTCTGGATCTGGATCCTGTGCTGTGTCCTCACAGTGCTCAAGGGCTGTGCTGCCATTGCCCTGCTCTGCTTTGCTCAGCCCCTGCTCTCTCCTCACACACAGCCCTGTAGAACTTCACAGAATCACCCCCAGCATTCCAGGTTGGAAGGGACCCACAAGGATCATCGAGGAATCCTGGTCCAAAAATCCCCCTCACAAAAAGGAACTAGTCCAGTATTCCTCGCTTTTTGTTGCAATTCCAATCCCGGTCAGCAGGGGCCGCTGTTGGATCACCGGAGGGGCAGAGCCTGCAGGGGCTCCCTGACAAGGGCGATTTTCGCCCCACACACCGAGAAGGGCAAGAGAAAGGGGATGTTTCTGCCTCATCCAAGGAGAAGGGACAGGTGAAATGCCCCCAAGAGCAGCTCTCTGTTTCCAGGAGTTTTAACCAAAACCTGCTGCACGGGGCTCCTGTGGAGACATCAAACCCAGCCCACGTGGGAATATGCAGAGCTCTTTTTTTCTAGAACTTTAACATTATGACAATTTTGATGCAGGAACAGATGTGACCCTGTGACCTCACATGGTATTTTAATGCTCCAATGGCATGGGCCTTTCTGGGTGCAGCCAGGGCTAAAAATTACTTCTGGCTGGGATTTAGGTTTGGAAAGAAAATGCAAGGAGAGAATGGAGGGGCAGTAAACCAGTATGAATCCAAAGGTTTGATGGTCTGGTGGACATCTCAACTGAGTTCCGGTCGCAGACGTCTCTCCCCCACCCCCTTGTACCTTCACAGTCCCTTCATGTCTCCCCAGCCACCCCTTTGTATCTCCAGGGCTGTCACTGGGCAGCTCAGCCCCATCCGGGGAGGGACTGTGGGAGGTAGAGGTGCAGTGTTACCCTGCCAAGCCAAGTGCTGGTAATCCCCCACCAGAGTGGCCTCAAAACACCCCCAGGTCCTTCTCTATGAGATACCCCCACTCCCAGTTTTGTGAAATCATCTGGTGCAGGCAGGGAAGGTGTCCACACGAGTTCTCTGAGAGAGGCAGAGGCAAATGGGAAGAGCCTGGAAGATCTCTGGGCTGTAAAGAAAACATGAATTTTGCACCTCTCTCAGTTTAATGAAACACAAGCGTTTTCCTAAGGAGGATGAGTCAGAAAGAAGACCAAACTCCTCCCTCTAAGCCATTGTAAATCCAAAGTTAAGAAGCTCCAAATATGGGGAGCAAAGAAAAAATAACAGCCCTCTATTAAAGGATATTTGTGTATTGTCATACACCCCCTCCTGGGGCAGGACTGCATTCTGACAGTGTGGGGCACTGGATCGTTGGTATTCAGGGGGTTTTCCGGAAGGGAGAATACAGACCATGGCAGGGGGCAAAACTTACATGGGTTGTGCTGCTCTGTGGAGTTTGAGGCGTTGATTCTTTGGTTGCTGGGGCCATTCTGGAATGGAGAGGATGGGCCGTGACATCACAAAGGGGACAAGGGAACACTGGTAGGGCTGCACTCTGCGGGTTTGGGGCATTGGTTCTTTGGTTGCCAGTGTGGATAACTGAATAGAGAGGACAGGCTGTGACATCACAAAGAGTCCCATGGTACATGGGTTGGGCTGCACTGGGACATTGTGAGGTGTGGTTTCTTTGTTTTCCAGGGGCCATTCTGAAATGGAGGGAGTAGGCTGTGATATCACAGAGGGACCCACGGCACACAGGTGGGGCTGAACTCTGGGGATGTGGGGCCTTGGCTCTTTGTTTTCTAGGCACCATTCCAGAATAGAGAGGATAGGCTGGGACATCACAAAGGGGCCCATAGCACAGAGGTGAGGCTGCAAAGCGGGGCAGTGGGATGTGTGTATTCCAGGGGCCTTTCCAAATCGGAGAGGATAGGCCATGACATCACAAAGAAGCCCATGGCAGGCAGGGGGGGCTGCATTCTGACAATGTGGGGCATCGGTTCTTTCGTTGCCAGAGGTTATTCTGGAATGGAGAGGATAGACTATGACATCACAAAGGGGTGCAAGTTAAATGGGTAGAGCTGCTCTGTGGGGTACGAGGTGCTGGGTCTTTGTTTGTCAGGGGCCATTCTGGAATGGAGACAATAGGCCGTGACATCACAAAGGGGCCCATTGCACACGGGTGGGGCTGCCATGTGGGTGTATAGGTCATTGTCTCTTTGGTTGTCAGGGACCATTCCAGAATGGAGAGTGACATCACAAAGGGGCCCATGGCAACATGGGAGGGATAGCATGGCTGTCCCTATGACATTTTTCGGCTCTGCTCCTCTGGGAATACAGAAGGCCAGTGCAAAAAAATCACAGAGGCAAAGGCACATACTGTGGATCCCCTCAGAGTGCAACATTCTGACCAAATTTTCCATCTCAGGTTCTTTAACACTGACCTCTTACTGCAAGGATCTCCTTGCCATTCAATCTGTACTTGTAAGTTTGAGCACCACTGGGAAAAAAAAAAAAAAAACAAATGACAAGGGATGTGCTTGGATTCACCAAAAAACACAGCCTATCAGAGGTAACATCTGATTGGGACTGGCAGGAAAATGCTCACCTTGCTCGTCTGCCCCCCGGTGTCGATAGCCTGCCCCACCGCTCTCATCCCACCTCCAAAGAAAGAACACAAAGACACTCACAGAACTACCTCTAACAAGAAGTGTCTGTCAGACCTACAAAGACAGAGGCACAAGATTCCTCCGTGGGGAAGATTCCCTGCTCTGCCCTGCACACCCCAGTGCTGCGGCCAAAACTCAGCCTCTCTGCTTCCCTCTCCTAAGGGACTCGTACCTGTACCCAGCTCTCGTGCCCTCTCTGGCTCAGAGCCCTCGACTTGTCTTACAGAGAGCTGGGCATGTCATTCCACCTTCCAAAAGCAGGTCCCTTTGGCTGGCTCAGGGGTTCCTGCAGTCACTGGTTTATTCTCTTCGTCACCTCCAAGAAAGGAAACCCAAAGCAATGCACGGCTTCAGCTGCACATGGGCCAAACCCCAACAATTCCACCACTCACTGTCTCCAAAGTGCACCGAGGTCCTCGAGTCCCCGGCGGCCACCAAAGTCGGAGCCTGCAGCTCTCACTGCATGGCACACCTTGGGTAGGGACAGAAAATATTCTGTGGCATTTCTGAAAGTTCCCTGGACCCCTGTTCCTCCTTGCTGCCTCCACGACTCACCTGGAATGTTCAGCTCTTCACAGAGGCTACCGGGACGGCACATCCAAAGAGAGGAGGGTGTTGTGCTCTGGATTAAGCTGTGAACTGCCCAGAGCATTTGCATTTTTTATTTAAGACTTTTTAAAAGCTTTTGCTTTTTTATAACCTCTAATTAGAGTCCGGAGACAGAGTCACACACTCTTCTCTAAGAGAAATTCTTTTTAATGTAGTGATAAAGATACGATATTTTGCCAAAAGGCTTTTATAATGGCCAGTCTTCGTGAGTGAAAAAAAAAAAGGCTTTTACAGGAGTAAAATACAACCAAGGAAAAAGCATTTCACTGAAACATTCAGCACAAAGAGCCATTCCACAGGAAACACCCACTAAAACAATCCATATACCAGCTTTAGTCAAACACAGTTCATTGCTTTTAAGTTACCCACAAGAGAAGGAAAAGAGTAAAAGAAAACAGACTAAAAGAAATAAAGAAAGAGAGAAGGAGAAAGGGGAGAAAAAATGGTTGCTGATGAGTCAATGATTCACATGGTACCAGTTGGAGAGGAAGAAGAGACAGGAAGAGGAGAGGATGTCCTCTAGGCTGATGTTTTATTCCCTTTGGAGTGAGTGCAGCCTCCGAGGGTTGAGCCCTGTCTGGCTGGGCTGGGCCTGTCCTGGAGAGACTCAGGCCTGGCTGGGCTGCCCCAGGTAGACGTTGCAGGAAGAAGAGCCCAGGCCGCCTGTGTCTGCTGTCCCTGGGGCTCAGCCTGTGTCCCATTCCTGCCCAGGGGCTGAGCCCACCTCTGCCTCGGGGCCTTGGGCAAAGGGCTGGCGAGGGAGAGGCCCAGGAGCCTTGGGGCCTGCCCAGCTTTCCTCCTCCCTGGGGGCTCCTGTAAAGTAAACAGGCCAAGTAAACAGGGACCCGAGAGACAGGAAAGGAGAGGAGTGAACTAAGCCCTCAGTGAAACCCCCACTCACACAGGTGTGTTTTACGAGGTTGTCTTACCCACCCCAGGATAACAGAATTACCCCCAGCAGAGGCTGCAGGCTCACAAAGAGAGCGGCAGCTCCACAGAAGGCAACGTTGTCCTTCCTGTGAAGCTTGAGAACCCCCAGCATGAGCCACCTGCATTTTTATCCACTTAGCCGGTGACGTCTCCCTGGGCCGGTGTGGCAGCACCGCCCAGCCAGAGGCCCTCGGTCCCTGCCCCGTTCTGTGAGTGCCCCCCTTCAGCCATGCGGGAGAACGTGGGGATTCCCCTCGCACTTGCGCTTTTTCACTCAAGGGCTCTGATCTATTTGGGTCTGGGGGCTTTACTTCATCCTCTCCTCTTTGGTTCCTCTTTCAAAAACCCTCTACAGACAACCAGCCAATCAAAGAACACCAATTAAAATAGTTTATACAAGAAACTCTCTCTCCAAGGACGAAGCTCCCGTTTATCAGTGAACTTGGCAGGCCAAGAACAAAACTTTTGCAGGTGGCTGGACCAAACACAGACCAAAAGATATCAACAATCCCTGATACACCTGCCCTGATTTCTGTGTTGAAGATGCTTCTTCAGCCCTTCTCTGGAGCTGCAGGGGCAGTGCCTGTGTGCAGAGTTGGAGGGAAGAGACTCCCAGCACAGCAGCACAGCCAGGGACAAGGGCACTTGTTCTTCCA